TACACTATGTTATAATCTTAAAGAGATTTTTTATAAAATGATGTACAATTGGTATATGTTACCAGAGAAATTGTCTAGAATGTGTAAAGGCAAATTTATGTGGGAAATGTGAACAACAAGAAGGGACATATTATTATGTTTGGTGGACATGTAAAAAAGCTAGAAAATTTTGGATTCAAATACATATACTGATTCAGAGGATTTTAAAGGTTAATATGCAATTGAGACCAAAGGTTTTTATTTTGGGATTGATGGACAAACAGTTGGAAAAAAGTCATGGAATTTTGGGTTTGTACATGATAACTGCAGCAAGATTATTGTATGGACAAAGATGGAAAGATTCAGCACTACCCACAATAGAGGAATGGTTGGTGAAGATAATGGAACTTGCTGAGATGGCTAGTTCTTTGAAAAGACAATATCTACGTTTATTGCTGACTGAAAACCCCTTAGGGATTTTTTGTGTAAAACAGAGAAAAATGAACATATGATTTACAGTTTTGATGATTAGTCAGGATAGATTATAGAAAGAAGAGGGTTATTTTGCAACCATAGAGTAAGAGGTGAATTTATAATTGTACTTATAACTGCTGTAAAGAAGATCGGAAGTTGCTTCTTTGTATCTTTTTTCTTTCTTTTCTATTTTACTTCATTTTCCTTTCTTGCACTTTTAGCTTTCTCTTTGATTTCTTTCTTATTCTTTTCTTTTTCTTACTTTATATTAGTTTTTATGTTCTATGTGTGTGTGTGTGTGTGTGTGTGTATGTATGTAAACATTTACAGAGTTTTATCTGAAAAAGATCCACTACATCTTAGCATGAACATCAGGGATGCATTTTCCATGAAAGAAATTACTCTTAATTTAATAAGAAGTTTTGAAATTTCCACAAGGCAATTTCAGTATATTAATACTCTAATAATCCATAAATAACATAGATTATTATTGGTAGTTCTAAAATACCTGCTGTTTCAAAACATGTGATGTCAGCATATCTAGTGCTTAGTTATAAGAGATCTAATGAAAAAGTAACTCAGACAGATTTTTTCTCATAAGCCATGATTGATATCTTTATTTTGAAAACTAAATAATGCTTCAGCATTTGGTGATATTTCACAGGATGCCAAAGGCATCTTTGAAAGCTGTGATTGAGATTGTCCTTTTTATTTTTTTCAACTAATAGCTGCTGTAGGAAAGTGCTCTCGAGGGCCTTAGCCCATCCTCCGTGCCATTTTTCAAGCGAAATATCCCCCCTTTCACTGTTAATAGCCTGTAGCTTGCTTTCAAAAGTATGCAGACTGGTAAGTACTAAAAGAATAGCAGAAACATGTTTAAAAAGATGTAAGTATATTACATCAAAATTCCCCATCTGATGCCCCCCAAACAGGTTAACTTTTAGTTCCCATAATCCTCAGACAAACCATCTGTAATAGTTTTCAGTAAAAACTAGTCAACTGCTTACTTTTCATTTAAAATATAACTTGTAAAATGTTGTATTTTGCTTCTGATTAAATACTTCTTGTAACCATAGGTTTTATTTACAGTTGTATTATGTCCTATATATATTATTTTAACATTTATTTTAAAAATTCTCAGTAGTGATTAAAAGAAGGTGTTGCTACCTGTACATTTGCTAATTCTTCAAGCTTTAGAGAAGTAGGGGAAAAAAATCTTACTTCATCTAGATCTTCATCTGGTGTTGCTGGTGTTCTGTCTGTCCTGAATGAAGCCATGGATGAGGTTTCAGAGTCCATGGAGTCATCATCACCCCCATAAACTGTGTCCAGAACATGCCTCTGCAAAAGGCAGAAACCACACATTCAAACTGCCACCAGTCTAGCTTCATAGCAGAGGCAGTACCCCATCATGTGTACTCTGTCAGCCATTGGTTGGGGCTGCTTCATCTGGGTGACAACAAGATGGCGGCAAAGAAATACAGGAACCTATAATTCTTTGCTGCCATCTAGTAGTTGTCTGAATTTTTGAAGCTCTGCTTTGTGATGAAAACCTAGAATCTGAAGGCAGCAAACTGGCCAAATGGCTCTGCTGATGACTGCAGAAAAGAAATGGAGGTGTCATCCCTGGACAGTTCATCCTCCTACTTCTCACTTCTAATTGTGGCAGTCACAATGCAGATACAACTTCAAAGTCTCTGCACAAAAGGGCTTTACAGAGTACAACAGGATAGACTTTGCTCTGGGCAGGTTGCAGTCTAACAGTTGGCCTAGGAAAGGGAGGGAAATCAAGATGTGGGTAAACAAGAAAGCATTTTTTCCAAGACCATTTTCTTCCTCATTAAGCTTGCTTGTTGGCTTGGTTATGCACCATCATTTGTAGGTCATACAAGCAATGCTGTGAAAATAGCTGCTATCTTTTGGAGCCTACTATTACAATTCAATGTTTTAAAAATAGCTTTAGTGTGTTCAAACTGACTAAGTTAATTAACAACATCAAAGAAGAAAATGAGTCATGACAGAACTGGTTAATCAGCAGGTTTGGATAGCAAAGTACTGATGCTTTCAGCACTTAAAACTTGCAAAAGTGAGTCATGAAGAAGCCTGATCAATGAGAATTTAAATCACACTTATACTACAATGTTTTTGCTCCCACATAAAAGATAAGGCATCGCAGAAATGGAAAACATATGGTAAGACTATGGTCTACAGTCAGGGGTTTTGCAGCTTGCAGAACTACAGATGTTAGCAAGAAATGTACTGTGCTTGGCCATCAGTCACAGGTATGCTAATCTTTGTTGTGTTTCATTTTCCTGCCTCCATTACTAGTAAGTACAACTAGATTTACTGTCACTTGTGCAAATGTACTTTGTCTTTGTTGTATGGTTTCTACAAGACCTAATACCTTTCTTTCTGAATTTATTGAGACATGGGTGTGGAACAGAGTAATTTAATGAATTGGGAATTGAAATATAATTTAATATATTAGTGGGGTTCAAAATAATATGTAAACTTCATTTACCTTAATTGGCTTTGAACTTCTTTTATGCTTCCTCCGTCGAATAAGTTTCTCTCTATCCTATATAAGAAAACCAAGGGTTACAGCTAAGGACACAAAGATCAATAGAGGCTATAAGATTCTAAGTGAGTTTTCAATAGAAATACAAGAGCGAACCAGTTGTTCATTTGACTGATTTATTCATTTATTCATTCCAAGTCCCAGTTGCATGAGATTTCTTGGAATTGAAGAGCACACAAATAGAGGCAAATCAGCTGCGGAGGAATTGTGATTATTCCACTAACCCATCCTTTCTGTTAGCTATAATATGGCAATAAGGAACGTGAAATTATTCCAAAGGTTATTCCAGATCACCTTTTGAGAGGTGATCTGAAAGAAATAAGAGAGGTAGTAGTATGGAATTTCTCTGGAAAATTTACTTGCAGAATAAGTATGGAGTAATTCTAGGCAAGTATGGGTGAACTTCATAGGATCTATTCTGTATTTTTTCCAGAGCCCAAAGATCCATCAAATGAAAAAATAATGATGTTTCAATTAATGAACAGGGATTTCTAAATATATCTCAGCTCAAGTATTTGTTTTAATAACTGGATCAAAACTCATTGTTCTTTATTCCACAAACACACTCCTGCTTTTCCTCAAGACATTCTTCATTCCAGTTGACTAGAAGTGACTTTTTCATTGGATGCCATTGTTAATATTGGAAGGAGGAACTTTTGCCAATCTAGTACAAATCCATCCAGAGATTTATTAGTAGATCTTCATAAAGTTTCTGCTTACTTCCAATTTCTGCTCACTCCTTTGGTTTGTGGATGTTATCTCTAGATGAATGGGTGTCAATGGAAGAATGTGACAAAATGGGAGATAGGCAAGGTGAAGACAGTTTTAAAAGTAAGGATGACAATCTTATCCATTTGAAAGTGGATGAGAAGCCAAAAAGAAATTTTAGAAAGGCCAACATATGAATGATTTGGGCAATAAAATGCTGGATAGAGGGGAAGAAGCTGGGATAAGAAGTTGCTGAAGTAATGTAATAGATTACCAAGCAAGATTAAAGCATGATTTATTTTTATTAATAAAAATAGGCCACTCCAGTCAGAATGGACTCTGACCAGTGTACAGTTCCCCTCTTGTAAGTTGGGATAAAAAATATACAAAAAACAATTTTATAACATAATAATGAAAATACCTATATAAGAGCTAGTAGTAAAACACAATTAACAAAATACAACTAACAACTTCAGTAGCTTGAGAGAAAAAAACACAATTATGCAGACCTCAGGAGCTGTTTAAATAAGCCATGTCTTAATAGTCTTCCTAAATGCCAAAGGGGGAGGGGCCATTGGAATATTGAGGAATGCTGTATCATGGGAGTGGGGGAGGGCAATGATAGAGAAGGCATGCCTCTGCGACCCCTGCAGATGGCATTTCTTAAACAAGGGAAGTGGGGACAACCCACCCTACTTGATCTTATTGGGTGGGGAGATGTTACTGGGAGAAGGCAGTCACACAGATATCCAGATGCTGAACCACAAAGTAGATAAACTTGAATTGCACCCAGAAACTAACAGGTAACTAATGCAATGTCACAGTAGCAGTGTTTTATGGACACAATGAAAAGGACCCATAACTACTCAGGCTGCTGCATTCTAGACCAATTCTGACAACCATGGCATGGTGTTCTTCTTAAATGGGTGCCATAAGAGATACTTCCTATTCATTGAATCATAGACCTGGAAGAGATCATTTAAGCCACTGAATTCAACCTTTTGCTCATTGCATTCAGAAATACCAATCCACTTTTGTTAATTTGGCAATGGCCAGCTACAGAATACCCATTTATCAGAAGACAAACTAGTATTCTAGAATGCTCTCTACTGTAGAAAAATAATCTGGATTAAAATAAAAGTGATGTTGTGTCTACTAGAGAAGTGATCTGGTCAGCTACAGAAGGTATGGAAGATACTTTCTAAAAGCAAGTTGCAGATGTTTTTCAGAAGGATAAGTGGTAAGGATGGGAACCTTTAATTACTCCAACATCTGTAGAAGACAAACTCTACTATGCACAATCCTTCCAGGCAATTTCTGGATGAGGAAAGTACAAGAGGTTCAGTTAACCTCAATATTATAGAAACCACTAGTTAGTATGGAAGGACCATTGGGGGAAGTGACTATGAAATGTTGGCATTCTTAATTTTAATGTAAACTAAAGCTGAATATAGTCAAACACATATTTTGGACTTCAAGTTTGTAGCTTTTCATAAATTCAGGGAAATGAAGAATGATACTACCGCAGGAACAGCTAGGGAAAAAGGGAACTCAAGTAAGTATTGGTTTCTAAAAAAAAATCCTAAAAGCACAATTGTGAACTATTCCAATGCAAGAAAGAAAAACAGATGATAGCTTGATGCTTGATAAAGTTTAGTGAATATCTGGAGGGGGGGGAAGAAATGGGGGGGGGTGTCACCAAAGAAATTTCACACAGAGTGAAACTGTAAGGATGGTGTTGGAAAGGCTAAAGCTGAGGACGAATTGAAGTTAAGAAATGATGTTACATATAATAGAAGGGGCTTCCTCAGATATGCTCAAACTAAATAAAGTATCAGTGGTCAGTAAAAATGGCAACATGCTAATAAGAAAGAAAAGGTGGAACCACTCAACTCCTCTTTTGGCTAAGATTTTTCTGAAAGCGGGTATGCAATTCACCCAGCAATTTTTAAGAGCAGAATGATGGAGTAGAATTGAAACTTGTCAGTGACCAAAACATAGTCAGGGGATGCCATTTATTCTGAATGAGTTTAAATCATCAGGATTAGATGAACATTAGAGGCTGCCCAAACTCATCCTCCCTCCCTCCCTCCCTCCCTCCCTCCCAAATGCATTATCCTTGAGAAGAGAAAACTGTAGGATTACGATAGCACTCTTCAAATACACAACTACATAATGATTTGTTATCCATTGTTCCAGAGTACAGAACATGGAATAATAGATTTAAATTGCAAAAGGACATTTGGTTCAAGATTTTTGTTTTCAAACCATCTTGATAGTAAAAGCAGTTTGACATGAAGCCAATTACCTAGAGTGAGGGTGGGGTCCCCTTCATTCAATATGTTCATGTGGAAGCTAGACAGATATCTGCCCAGAGTCACCCACTGGGGGAGATGGGTGGCATACACATTTAATAAATAAATAAATAAATAAATAAAATATCCATTAGGGATGCTTTAATTTGAATCCTGCAGTAGACATGGGATGGTCTATATGGTACCTTGTAACTGTAGGAATGTATGATTGCATTTCTGGATGAAGCACTGTGTTAGCACCATTTTTCATTTTATTTCCTGAGAATGCCTATAAGGCATATGTGGGGCCCGGAGACATTCTTGGAAATAGAGGTGATGCTGACTTCTTGACTTTGCTTTGCAGCTTGCCAGATTTCCATTTATTTTATTCATCTAATCTTGCAAGCTCACACATGTCTATTCTGGACTATTTTTACATTAGTTGCACTTTGTGGAAGTTGAATCCAACACATATGCAGAGCATCTAGTTTAGGTATGTATTCATAACACTACTTTTTTTAAATCATAGAATCTTTCAAGATCTGTTTCTAGATTCTTAGTTCCTTATGGACCATAACTTACTCGTGTCAGCTCATCAATTATGTTTTGTTGTTCTATAACCTGGAGTTTCAAAAATTCAGTTTCTTGTTCTTCATTTGCTTGATCAAGGTCATTGAGTGATTTTAATTTCTTCAGAGGAGGATGCGATGTCATTTTTTCTTTCTGTACAACAAAAAATAAAACAAGAAAGCCAGTTTTCTTTTTAGAAACTTTTAAAATTTTACTTGATTGGGTTATTATACTGTATTATTTCTCACATTTTATTTTCCACCTGTCTTAAATATTAAATTATAGGTATTAGAGTTGAGATTTTTTTTCCATAGCATGTGTTTAAATGATACCTTACTGTTGCATTGAGAGAAGGGAAGATACACCTCTCTTTCTGGAAAAGTGGGCAAAACAGCTCAACAGAGCATTCTACTATGGATGTTGCATATATTTATTAATAAAGAGACAAAATTGAACTCAGTGGGACTTCTAAATACAAATGTTTAGGATATAATGGGCTCACTCTCTAGAAAATTCAGTGGATCCAAGAAAATAGCCTTTGTAATGTTTATCCTAGAGAATTAAGGGAATAATGGAAATGAATCCCAGAACACTTATATTTGGACATGGAGTTACTTTTAGACTAGATTTCCATTCTGCTATTAGCCTAGTTTATTCTTGGACTTTTTATACATACCACTCTATGCTCTGATTTTTCCCCATGGTAACAACTCTGTCAAACAGGTGGGGCTGAGAGAAAGTGTCTCTCCCAGAGTCACTCAGTGAGCTTCCATGAAACCAGTCTAACACTTTAACCACTGCACTACAATAGTTCTCTAAATGCCATTTGAAACTTTCCTATATTTTCCCACCACATTCCCCATTTTTTAACATGAGAAAATCTATTATGAAAGGAAAGGAGAAAAAGTTGCATAATATATTTTGATAGATCAGTATGGAAAAACTGCATCTGGATTTTCTGGTTGTTTCTTTCAATGCACTGCATGTTTTTTTTTTAATGCAGTAGAGAGAAGGTAAGAAATGATACAGGAGGAAAAACGATCTGTCAGCTCTTGTTCTAGCCAAGACACTTCTTTATAGCTTATTTCTGAATGGAAAAAAAATATCTGCATTCAAATATGCACAATGAGAAATAGTAGCAGAAGGTTTTTGACCTGCCACTTCCTATTTCCCTTTTCTTCTCTTGTGTAGCTTTAAGAAAGACTTCAGCAGCATTTATTTGCAGTTGCCCTGAAGCTTGACCTGTGTGTCTTCCAGATCACAATCGTTGTTTTTTCCAATCCTGTTTTTACAGTTTATATGTAGGAGTGAAACGTATGCAATAAACTATGGCTTGGATGGTGAAAGAACTGTGGGTCATGGAAAATGAACTGTGGGGGAGGAGGGGAATATGGGAATTGAGCATCACTGAAGTTCCTTCTTACTCATGTCCATTGTGCTAAGCTGGAAGGGGAACCAACCACCCCAGGATCATAAATCTTTTTTATGGCTTCTAAAGCCCCATGTACATCTCCAAATTTGCCTCAAATTGTTGTCATGACTCTATGTCATTCTGAGGCAATAGGCTTTAGTTAAAAAGAAAGAAACAACAGGGTTTTTTTTAAACAAAAAACCACCACCACAATGCCCCAGAAAATGGGTTTCCATCTTTGCCTTGACATGCCCCTGTCATTTTCCATCACCCCTGAATTCTGTGATTCCATTTTATTTGCCGCTCTGTAACCGCTCCGTCTCTTTAAAAAAACAAAAAAGGAAACAAATGCAGTTTTTGACCACTGAAACATTGTCCACCAGGAGTGAGAATAGGTAATATGTCTCCATATACTTTGTGAGGCACATTTCCCCAAATAATATTAAATGTGGCCTGTCTATTTTGGGTGAAACCATGGTTTAGCAGACTATAATTTCCACTAATTAAAAAAAAATGATGTGAAGCAGATTCCTTTAAAAATGGTGAACATAAGGTTTATACAAACTGTAGGTAAAATGTATATGAGTGGCTCTTAAAGACAGATTTCAGAGAAATTCAGGCTACGTACCATTTAAATACAAGTGATGAAACTGGGAATTGAATAGATCAGTGTTTCTCAACCTTGGCAACTTTAAGATGTCCGGACCAACTCCCAGAATTCCCCAGCCAGCATGGCTGGCTGGGGAATTCTGGGAGTTGAAGTCCGGACATCTTAAAGTTGCTAAGGTTGAGAAACACTGGAATAGATCATATTTATGCTTGTACACATGGATATCCAGAAGAAGCCTAGCCTTTTTAGTTCAGTATGTGTCAGCCTATCAGCCATGTATCAACCTATGCCCATTATTTGTAGGGATTGCATGGCTCATCAACCTCCAAAGTAATTGTTAGAAATGAGAGAGAAATGGGCAATGCTATCATGAATGGAACATAATGTCCCTGAGAGGAATGGTCTAGAAGCGCACAAAACAGCAGTTTTAGGAAAATCTGTGTTTCATCAGTGTCTGGATAACAGATTACCTGAAAGTCCTACATATCTCATCTTGAATATGGATGGAAAGCAAGATATAAAGAGAATCCAATTAAGGCTGCAATCCAATTCACTGACCTTTCCCAATCCATATATCTGGAGGGTACCTGCTATACACAATTACATAAGAGTAAAATCTGCTGAATCGAATAGAAAGCATATGGAAGCAGACATACATAGGATTGCTCTATAAGTATGAAAACCCATATAAACATGTTTAACTATAGGCTAACTATAACATATATTAACTAATTTATTTTGGAGTTTTGGAGTTAGTATGATGTATTAACTAACTAGATAGATAGATTAATACATATATACATACATCCACTAACACATCCACTCTGATTGACAAAAAATTATATATTTTGTGGTGTGGAGATGTTTAAAATATTGTTTCTTGAACAAGCTATAAGGTTGATTCATACATCATACTAACTCCAAAACTCCAAAATAAATTAGTGCCTATAGTTAAACATGTTTATATGCGTTTTCATACTTATAGAGCAATCCTATGTATGTCTGCTTACATATGCTTTCTATTAGATTCAGCAGATTTTACTCTTATGTAATTGTGTATAGCAGGTACCCTCCAGATATATGGATTGGGAAAGGTCAGTGAATTGGATTGCAGCCTTAAGCACAGTGATTAGAACTCTTAGGAAAGTGGGAATGCACTTAGGGGGCCAAATATCAGATTTGTTGGGCATGATACAATCTGGTCTCCCCCCCCCCCCCCCTTACAATTTTTTATTGGACATCAAAAGTCAGGATAACATTGACTGGTTTTTAGATATTAATAGTTTTGTTTTTTCAAGTCCCTTTAATCTTCAAGCCTTTTTTCGGCACCAAAAAAAATTTACCATCCAAAAAAGATTATGGAAAAGGATTTCCTATAATAGATAA